AGGAAGCAGGTGTCGGGGAGGGAAGCACGGCAGGGAAGGCGAAGCTGGACAGACAGACGCCCGCCCAGCACCGTGGCCAGGCTGGCGAGGCTCGCGGCCGAGTGGAGTCCTGGCCTTTTCCTCACGTGAAGAACGTGCCGCTCCTTCGGCAGTCGCCCTGGTGAAGAAGGCCGCGTGGGCCGCGTACAAACAAGTGTTCACTGAAGCGAGGCGCGTGGACACCCACGGGTCGCGCGTGTGTGTGTGTGTGTGTGTGTGGCCAGCGTCTGGGTGGACGCACCGCTGGACCCGGGGCGGGACGTGCTCTCAGCCCCTGGGCTTCCTGAGCGTCCCTCCCAGCGGAGCCCCGCTCCCGGGAGCTGAGCCCGCATCAGCCCCGTCTTCCCATCGCGTGCGGGGCTCGGCAGGGCCGCGTGCAGCGGGGCCCTTCCCCGGCACCTGCCCACTCCCGCCGGGCCGCCCGTTGCCACCGGGTCCGGTGCAGCCCGAACGACTGCGACTCGACGTCAGGTGGACGGTTAGTGTTTGTGTGTCTCCGTCTTCAGAGGAACAGTCACAGCCGCACCCGCCTCCGCGAAGGCAGGAGCCGCTTTCTCATCGCTCCCGGCGGCTGTGCCGCGCAGCGGGCTGTGGGCTGGCAGGGACCGAGGCTTTCCCACAGCCAGCGCTGCCCCGCAGAGCTGGCTGAACCTTCAGCTTCGTTCACACACGTCAGGCCAGAGCGGGCTGCGCGGTCCCAGCCTCGCCGCCAGCCCCGGCGCACAGGTGCCTGCACCCCCCGCGGTGAGCCTGCCACCAGGCCGCCCCCAGAAGACTGAGCGGCGTGAGGAGAGGTCTTCCCGCCGCACCGTGCAAAAGCCACAAAGCGGTGCTGCTGATTGGATCCGGAGCGCCGGGATCTGAGGATCCGGGGATCGGTGACCAGGGCCTGGAGCAGCGCCGTCACTGCTGCGCAGCGGCCTGTGGACTCAGCAGCCCAGGGCCTTGCTCCAGAACGACAGGGAAGAGCACAGAGCACAGCACGGCCTTCCTCCCGACACGTGGGGACCCGCTGTCTCGGGAAGGTCATGACCACTGAAGTGCCCGCCCGCTGGCAGTGAGCGAGCGAGTGTCAATCCCAGAGGGACCCACCCGCTGTGCTAGCCGACAGGTCACACGTGCGCCTGGAGCACCTCTCCCCCGGGCGCTGCATTTACTCCCGTCCATGCCTCGCAGGCTCTGGGGCTGCTTCCCTCCCGTCGGGAAGAGGCCTGGTTAACCGTGACCTCCTGCTGGAGCCCAGGGGTCTGAGTGCCCTTCGTCCTTCACTTCTCACCTGCCCGCGGCGCTGGAGTGGTTTCCTGTGGGCAGAGGCACTGGGTTCTGCTTGTTTATCTGATCTCACCACCTCTGCCTCTTAATTGGAATGTATATGTCACTTCCATTTAATGTGATTGTTGATACAACTGTATTTTCCTGGGCTTTTAGCTACAGTGTGTGTTGCTTTAGGGTTTATGCTACTAATCAATTTATGGCAGTTTCTAGCACACGTACCTGACGTTGGTGGGCAGCAAAGAACATTTAATTCACGTGTCACACAGCATCGTGGAATCGTGTGCACGCGTGTGTAATTCATGCTGTTCCACTTCCCGTAGAGCTTGTGGTGGATTGCCGAAAGTTTGTGGATTCGAACGCTCTGGGCCTGACCGCCGCGGCCCTCAGCAGCTATGACCCCCAGATGCGAGCCGCCGCCTACTCCGTGCTGGCGGCCTACTACTCGCACGTGGAGGGGGCCCGGTTCCGAGAGCAGCCCCAGGTGAGTGACCGAGGCTGCGCTCCGCCTGGTCTGCAGGCTGAGTTGCCGGGGGACCTCTGTCCCTCCTGCGGGGCCTGCGGGCAGCTGGACGGGTCGCCCCTTACACACACTCCCGTGTCGTGGACGGGCAAAGCGGCTCGGTTTCCTCTGGCTCTTCCTTTGGTTTAAACTCGGTGTGTAAGGCGGCTGTTGTCCAGCCACGGTGCCCGGGGGCAGGACAGGAGCAGGTTGGATGGTCAGGCCTGGAGCCAGGGCTCTCTCTGCCCTCGGCCAAGCAGGCACCCGCAGGGCTGTGCTTGAGGCTGCGCAGGGCCAGGCTGGCTCCGGGTCCGCAGATGCTCTCTCCTCCTGCTTCCAGGTGCTCTACCTGCTGGATGTCGTGCGGAACGGGATCCGCACTCAGAACATGAGGCTCACCTTCACCTTGGCGCTCTTCGTGGCCAAAGCAGCCCTGCAGATTCTGAAGCCAGGTACCAGGGGTGAGGGTGAGGCAGGATGGGAACGTGGAGGCTGAGCAGGGTCCGCCACGAGGGAGGGACGACGGCCAGGGATCCCCCGGGGCCTCGGGCCGACAGGAGAGCTGGTGGCTGCGAGGAGGCGCTGTAGGGCCCCTGTGGGACCAAATCCAGGAAGACTGAGTGAGAGGCCGGTGCAGGGTGCCCAGGTCAGACCTGCGGTCACGGGGTCGCTGAAGGCGGAGTCTGACCCGAGGGTGGGAAGCGGCAGGGGAGGAGGTGTCTGCCCACGTCACCTGCTGCCTTCTGGACCAGTGGCCCTGGGCGTCTGGCCTCGTTACTGGGAGCCGGTGGTGGGTGCTGGCCCTGCACGGTCTGTGGGACCTGGTCCACTCCGCCCAGGCTGGTTGGCATTTCTGCAGGAACAATGACAGGGCCGGGGTGGGGGATGAGGTCCCTGCAGTGGTTTCTGAGCCCCAAGAAGCTTGTGTGCAGTGTAGATCCAGCGTCTGGCTGCACTCCGTGCTCGAGAGCCAGTAGCCGGGATGCGAGGGCAGCGCCCGCAGGCGGGGTCCGTGTCTGCCCGCGGGCCCGGTGTGAGCGCCCCTCTGCCCTGTCCAGAGGAGCACATGTACCTGAAGATCAACAAGTTCCTGCTGTCGCACGAGGACCTGAACATGAGCAAGGTCCCCGGCTTCTTCCAGTTCTTCTACAGCTCGGACTTCCAGGTGAGCCCGCGGCCCCGCACGGCGTCCCAGCCTGTGGCCGCGACGCGCAGGCTGTGCCGTGTGAGCAGGCCGGGCCGGCGCTCGGTCCCGCGGGCTGCGTGGGGGAGTGGGCATCGTCCATGGCTCATCTCTCGCAGCCTCAGTCTGCGCTTGGTGGCGCTCTCGTCACTGTCTCTTCCTGTGTCTCGGGGTCAAGGTCACGCGCGTTCATAGGGCCGCTGCCCCTGTCCTCCGAGTGGAAGGTGATGGGAGGGTTTCAGTCAGAAGCGGGGGGCCGGCTGCCCGGGGGCCCCACGTGAAGCGGAGGTGCAGCCGGCTCTGACGGGCGGGCGTTTGTCTCCGGCCGCAGCACAGCACCGAGCGGGAGTGGCTGTTCGGGCTCCTGCGGCAGGGCATGCGCGACAAGCACTGCTACGAGCTGTACGCCCGGCGCGGCGTCTTCCACGTGGTGCTCTCCTTCTTCAGCAGCCCGCTGTGCGACCCCGCCGCCCAGGTGGGTGCCCGTCCAGCCCTGCATCTGCCCCCAGTCCCTGCGCCCACCCCCCGTCCATGTGCCCTGGAAGGCCGAGGCTCTTTCTCTGGTTTTCCCTGGAAGGAAGCCATGTAACTCCTCACCCCGATGGGCATGGCCTCACCCCGACTCGCAGGAGGGTCGCAGTGGGTGTGGCTGCGTGGTGGGGGCGGGGGTGCAGGTCGACATTCAAGCTGCTCAGTGATCCTGAGCCTCGAGCTGCTGGGAGTTAGAAACAAGTCACCCGCAAGGAGGAGGAGCTGAGGCTGCGGCCCGGAGCCCCGGGTCCGCGTGGCCCCGAAGCTGCGGCCGTCAGCACTGGCGGGCTTCGTCCTGGGTTTCAGGGCTGGGTTCTGGAGATCCTGCAGAACGCCGCCCGCGACGCCAGGGCCGCCTATGAGCTCCTGCGGGACTACAGCCTCCTGACCTGGGTCCTGCACGCGCTGGAGGGCAGGTGAGCCCCGTGTGGGCGGGTTCTGGGAGGCCCCTGTCCTTGTCGTGCGGACGGCCGCCGCTCTGCATCCTCACGTGGGAGAGGGAGCGAGCTCTGGAGTCTCTCCTGTCACAGGGCACTAATCCCACTGCGGGCCCCACCCGCCTGACCTCACCTGAGCCCAGCGACAGCGACAGCCACGTGGGGTCAGGGTTTCCACAGGAACGGGGGAGGGGCGCAGTCAGTCCAGAGCTGATCTACTTCCTCACCGTCTCCTAATTGGAGGATGGCATCCCGTCCCAGACTGCACTTCTGCGAGGGACTTCCCCAGCTCACCTTGCTCTCATAGACTAGCCAGGGCGGCCAGGCCTGGTGCGTTCTCAGGAGCATTTTGTCATCTCTGAAGGAGTGCGTCTTGGCACTGGCTGGCAGACACTGCCTGGGGCGGCCGCGTGGCTGTTGGCTGTTGGCTGTTGGAAAGGGAGTTCTCAGGAAGCCAGCAGCAGGAGGGACTGCCGCCACCTCGTCCTCCGCCCCGGGGTCCGCCCCCTCGCAGGCGCCGGTGGGAGGGGGTGTGACTGAGCGGCTGTTCGTCCAGGTTCCTGGAGACGCAGCTGCTGTCCAGCATCATCGACCTGCTGCACACGCTGTGGGTGACCACCCTGGGGGGCAGAGGGGTGGAGGCGGACAGCACGCCCGGAACCCAGAAGCCCCCGAAGCTGCTGGCCCTGCACCTGGTCAACGAGTTCCTGTACGTCCTGCTCGCGCTGGCGAAGCACCTGAGGTACGCCCGCCACCCGCCTCCCTGGGGCCGAGGGTGACGCCAGGAAATCCCTGTCGTCGCTGTTTCCTCTCCCACGTCAGCCTCGCGGGTTCCTCGCGGGCTCCTCGCGGGCCTGGGAACTAAAGCCTGCTGGGCAGGTCCCTGGGCAGGAGCCCGTCCACTGACATCTGAGTCCAGCGTCGGGGGTCGTGTTGAAGAAAGGATGTGTCTCCATGACCTTGACCTAAGAAAGTGCCGGTCTTCCCCGACCTGCCTCCGCCGCCCGCTGCCCAGGCTCCTTGTCCATGCACCTCCTTGGGAGCGTCAGCATTTCTCACACACACACACACACACACACACACACACACACACGGGCCCGGGAGAGCTCCGTCCGCGGGTCCTGGGCGGGACATCGCTCTGCACTCGCGCCCTGAGCTGGGACAGGTGTGCTGGTTGGGCCCAGAAGGTCGGCAGCAAGGCGGCTGTGGCCTCAGCACCGAGACTTCCTGGTCAGGAGCAGGCCTTCCATTTGTGTCTGAACCACGTGAGGCAGTGCAGGCCGCACGCCTTTGCCTGGGGCCGGAGGGCACACTGGTCTCCGAGGGCAGTGAGCGTGCCCGGGGGACACCGGACCCTCGGGCTCTCTGCCCAGCTGTCCATCAGCCTTGGTTTCCGGAGACTTTCCGGCCCTTTCTGCCCCCCTCCCCCAACCCAGCACCCCAACTCTCTCTTTCCTGACGCCCTGGGCGCGGTCTTCGTGACGGGTTGTAAGGGAGCAGCTGGTGGGTGGCCTGTGAGCACCTGGCTCTGGGCGGTGACCGGCCACTGTCCGGGCCGCAGGACGAGGCAGCCGTGCTCAGCGCGTCCTTCTCCCCGCAGGCCCGCCCTGGCCTCCGCGCCACTGACCAGCTTCTTTGGGGCCCTCGACTCGGTGCTGCGGTACCGGGCCTCCGTGCTGCGGGCCTTCCAGGACCTGGGCCGCTTCACCGTGAACGAGACGGCGCTGTCCACCGCGGAGGCGCTCCTCCTGCTGCACCAGTGGAGCCTCGTCGAGCGGGACGGCGAGCTGCAGGGGGCGCTGCTGGCCGCCGCGGAGAGGCTCCGCGCCCGGGACCTGCTGAGTGCGTGCGACCCTGTGGTCTTCTCCCCACCTCTCACCCCACCCCCCTCCCCCAACCCTCTCCCCACCCCAGCAGCCCCGTCCTCCCCTCTCTGAGCAGCCTTTCCTTAGCGGGTGAGGCGTAGAGAGCGGGTCCGCGTGGACGCCTAGAGGGGGCGCAGGGTTTTGGGTCGGCTCTGCCCCACCAGGGAGCCCCCGACTACAGCAGCGGCACCAACCCCAGTCCAGGGCCAGGGCTCGCTGTGCCCGGGCAGCGTGGCCTCTGAGCTGCCCCTCTGCCCGCCCCTCCACTGCACCCACCCTGGTCTGCAGGGGACACAGTCCCACCCGTCCTCTCTCTCTCACAGAAACGCTCAAGGACAGCAACAAGCCCGCGGCGTCTGCCCGAGCCCGAGGCCCTCGGGGCCGGAGGAGGAGGCCTGGGGAGGCGGAGGAGGCGGCCAGCCCCGAGCTGCAGCCGTCCAGCTTGGAGACCTGCAGGGGCCTCCTGAGGTCCATACTGACCCACTGGGGGCCCGTGTTCCCCGGCCCTGCGCCCACTCAGGGGCCCTCGGACCCAGCCGTCCCCCACAGCGAGGCCGTAGGCCCCATGTGCACCGTCGCTGCCCTGGTGGTCAGCTGGGTGCTGCGCACGGCGACCGAGCACCCACTCAGCGGGCCTGAGGCTGCGGGCCTCCTGCACTGGCTTCGGAGCCACGTGGTGCGGCAGCCGGAGGTCGTGGCCCGGCTCCTCGGGGACAGTGCGGTGAGGAGCGGCCTGTTCAGGCTGTACAGCCGGCTCTGCACAGAGGGGCTGGCGGGGCCCGAGCTCAACGCGGTGATGCTGCCCCTGGCGGCGGCCCTGAGCCCCTCAGGGACCCCCCTCCCCCCGGCTGTGGAGACCCTCCGCCTGGCTTCCCTGGACGACAAGGAGGAAGCCACGCGAGGTGATTATGGGGGTGCCGTGGGCGGGTGGGGGGTGGGGAGCAGCTCTGCACAGGCTGGGGGACTGTGGGCCTGACCGTGAGGGGGGCCGGGCCTTTGCCTGCGAGAAAGCCTTTAGTGACTCTCATCTCACAGTGGGGGGTGCTCGCCCAGACCTCCAATCCCCCCAGGACGGCCCCTCCCTGCAGGCCAGGGGCTTCCCCAAGTGTCCGCCGTTTCCCAACCAGAGTTACATTCCACATTGTGGCCGTGTGCATGTGTATGTGTGTGTGAGTGTGTGTGCGCACGAGTGTGTGTGTGTGCACTCGCATATACATGTATGCACACAAGTACGGATACCCACAGTTGCCATGTTTGGCGTTTGGCAGCTGCCTAGGAAAGGTTTGCGTGTGCGAGTGAGTGAATAGAGGCGCTGAGACCTGAAGGAGGGCACGCGGGGCCCCTTCCCAGGACACAGGGAGCAGGGAAGGGTGGGCAGCCCGCAGGTGGGCTCACCTGGGAGTGGGTGACTGTCCTCATCCAGCCGCAGTTGGGGACTGAGTCTCTGCTTGTCCGGGGGGCAGGGGCGGGGGTCAGACCAAGAGGAGGCTGGCCTATAGCAGCGTTTCCTGCATCACCAGATAAGACAGGTTCCTCAGGGAGCAGAAGCGATGAACCAGAAGTTACTCGAAGGCAGATGCATTCGTTTTATACACTTGCCCACTCGGTGGCCACAAGAGTGAGCCCGGTTCATCGCATGTCCGTCCCACGAGGGGTGGGTGACGGGCTGTCTGGCTGAGTAGATCGCATCCTGATGGCCCTGTGTCCTCCCCGCAGCCTCCGCTGCCTTCCTGCTGTCCCTGTACATCCAGGACGTCTGGCTGGGGGCCCAGCGGCCAGACACCCTCCTCGCCCACGTCCAGATGGTCCGAGAGGCTGCGGAGGACGCACCAGGCAGTGACCAGGAGGCCATCGTCGGGCTCTGCGAGGACATCGCCGCCCTGGCCCCGGACACGTGACGCCCTCGCGGGCTCTAGGAGTCCAGGGGTGTGTGTAGTGACCGGGGTCCTGGAGGAAAAGCTCACTTTATTTATTCGACCAGTAAACAGAGTGGCGGGCCTGTGTGAGGCGGTCAGCGTGACGGGGCCGTGGGCTCCCTCGGGGCCAGGGGGCCGCACAGTGATCAGTGGGCCGGCCCTTTTCTCGTTCCTCGTTCTTAGAGGAAACTCCTCCAAGTGAGTGGCACTGAGCACGCGAGGGCTCCCGCGTAAAGTTAAGCTAAACGGCCACAAATGTGTCCCAAAGCGCACGAGCGGAGGTGCCTAAGGTGGTCTCTGTAGGAGTCGGGGCAGAGCTCCGTGTAACTGTCAGGTCAGCTCCTGCCGCAGCTTCTGTTTCCTGAAATCCGGGGGGCTGCTCAGAACCTCGCAGGGTGCAATCGCCCGACCTCGGCTTAGGGAAGGCAGCCTGTGTTTTTAACTTGATAATAAATGTCTATTTTTGTTAAGTTTTTGCGTTTTGCTTAATTGATGTTAAAAGCTATTTTTATTCCACAGAGACCTGCATGTTTGCGGTCAGGGTTTGACTTTTAAGATCCCTCGTTAATTGGTGTCATCGTTGACACATGTGGAATGTGGATGAGGCAGTTTCCCGTGTAGAAGTTTAGCCTGTCCCTGAGAGCTCTGCGTGCCCGCACCCCGCACGCCAGGGCTCCCGGCTTCGTCACTGTCCGCCGTGGCCTCCCTGCCTGTCCCCCGGGAGGTGGCTGCTTGCTCGCCCGTGTGACGCCCCCACGAGAGTTCAGCTTCAGTGTCTGCTCTTGTTCCCGCCCCCAGGGTCCCCGAGTCTCTCCTGCTTTTCTTCATAACAAGGTTTTAACCCAGACCAGAACCTGCTGGTCTGCACAGTTCCCCTCAACCACAAAGCTGCCTCCCTCTCCTGTCCCCCCAAACCCCGGCAGCAGTGTCCTCACCTGCAGTCCGTCCTGCACGCGGATCCCAGGGGGAAGGACACCTGCTCCTTCCTCCCCGTGTCTGCATCCCTGCAGCTCAGTCGCCCTCCCTCTGCCCATGGCCCCAGTCTGGGGAGGCCACCGCCCCGGGAACCTACAAAAGCTACACATCAGCCGGGAACTCCAGGTCGATACCGTGTGCAGCAGTGATGGTGGAGGCTAGAAAGAGGCAGAGTAGGGATGAGTGAGTGGCTCTTACATCTTTATTTGTGTTTATTCTTTTTCTACGCTTCCGAAGTGAGCATGGACGTGAGTAAGCGGCTGGGCACTGAAGCGCTGCCCCGTTGGGGCTGCTCCCCGGCCAGGCCAGGCGGGCTGGTGCGGCTGGGACCAGTGCGGGTTCACACGCCCCCGTCAGCGCCTCCTGGTGGTGGTTCTTGGCAGCTGCGCTTCTGCTGCTTTCAGGAGGCACGTGTCCAGGTTTGAGCCCCTCGGGGTGGCCGCCGCTCGCTGGTGCAGAACCGTCTCCAGTGGGAGGCCGGCTGGGCTGTGGCCGACATCAGCTGATGCCGTGGGGGTCCCCGTCCAGGGCCTGTTCCCACAGGAGAGCAGGGTGGGCCTGGGGGGCGGTGGGGGGGCGAGGCGGAGGGCCCGGATGCCCTGCTGCCTGGCTCGCTGGCTGAGCTGGGTGGGGCCGTCGGGGTCCCCTGGGGGGCCCTGTGGAGCAGCGGGTGCCTCCGGATGCAGAAGGGGAGGCTGACGTGGAGGCCGCAGGGGCACGCGGGGTGGCGGGGGGCGCTGCTCCTGTGGACAGACGGGCGGCGTCAGGGCTGCGGAGGACAGTCCCTCCCCTGCTCCGTTGGGTTAACAGCTCAAGTGAGATACATGTTACCATGTACAATCAATGAGCTATAGCATATCCATCGAATTTTGCAGCCGTCACCACACTATTTTATTATTTTTAAATATATTTTTATTGATTTCAGAGAGGAAGGGAGAGGGAGAGAGAGAGAGAAACGTCAATGGTGAGAGAGAATCATGGATCAGCTGCCTCCTGCACACCCCACACTAGGGATTGAGTGTACAACCCGGGCCTGTGCCCTGACCGGGAATCGAACCGTGACCTGGTTCATAGGTCAGTGCTCAACCACTGAGCCACACCAGCCGGGCACCACAGTCTGTTTCAGAATATTTTTATCCCCAAAGATGGACCCGTCAGCAACAGCCAATCTGTCTGCCCACAGAGTTGCCTCTTCTAGATGCTCCCCATCAGACTCCCTGAGCCTCGAGTCCTCAGACTCCCCACGTGGAGCGGGTGTCAGGGCCTCGTCCTACGGCAGTGCTGTCCGTGGATGTGTGGCTCTTCACCGCGCAGCCCTGAGCCCCCCACGCTGCCGCCCGCACGCACCTGGCCCCCACGCACCTGGCCCCCCACACTGCCGCCCCCCACGCACCTGGCCCGCACGCGCCTGGCCCCCCACGCACTTGGCCCCCCACACTGCCGCCCCCACGCACCTGGCCCCCCACACTGCCGCCCCCACGCACCTGGCCCGCACGCGCCTGGCCCCCCACACTGCCGCCCCCACGCGCCTGGCCCCCCCACACTGCCGCCCCCACGCACCTGGCCCGCACGCGCCTGGCCCCCCACACTGCCGCCCCGACGCACCTGGCCCCCCACACTGCCGCCCCCACGCACCTGGCCCCCCTCGCGGCTGTCCCCACGCACCTGCCCGCGGGAGCCCAGCGGGACATGGAGAGCAGGACGAGGAAGAGGAGCACCACGAAGGCGCCAGGCTCACCCAGAAGGCGATCACCACCGAGTCTGCAGGAGAGACAGGTGCGTGTGTGACCCACGGCACCGGCCGGGGGGAGTGGGGGGGCTGGGGAACGGCAAGGGCGATGTCCATCCTCTGCTGGCCTCTGG